CCTGGTTTCCAAAAGGATTTGCAACAGCTTTCACAAGAGGCAAAGAAATGAGCATTGACAGTGAGCCAGGGTTTACACATGGGGCCCTCACGTCACAGGCCTGGGGGACTAGAACAGGCATAAGAAGACAGAATCCAGATCCCTCCAGGAATCGCATGTGTATGAGAGTGAGCTCCCCATCAGAGCAGCTATGCAAGCAGAGGCCAGCAGGCCCTGGTGGGGCTATGGTTGAGGGGACTGGTACATCAGGGAGAGGTGTGGTCAGATGTGAAGCCCATGTTGGAAAATGAGGTGACTGGTCCTTCCCACCCACCACAGCCCCTCTCCACAAGGAAGCCAGGATGAGATAATGCTGGTGTGGGGGACCTGTCTTCATCAGTTTCATTGTTGCTATAACAAAATACCACAAACTAGGTGATTGCTTCTTCTTTTTTCTTTTTTAAAATCAAGACAGGGTCTCAATCTGTCACCCAGGCTGGAGTGCAGTGGTGATCACCACTCATTGCAGCCTCGAACTCCTGGGCTCAAACAGTCCTCCCACTTCAGCTCCTGGTGTAGTTGGGACTACAGACATGCACGACCACACCTGGCTTTTTTGTAGAGATGGAGTGTCGCTATGTCGCCCCAGCTGGTCTTGAGCTCCTGGGCTCAAGCGATCCTCCCACCTTGGCTTCCCAAAGTGTTGGGATTGCAAGTGTGAGCTCGCGGCCAGCCCAGACTGGGTAATTTCTAAACAACAGAAATTCCTCATGGTTCTGGAAGCTGGGAAATCAAAATCCAGGGCCAGCATCTGACAAGGCCTTCCTGCTGTGTCTTCCCATGGCAGAAGGAAGGCAGAAGGGCAAGAGAGTGCTAGAGGGTTATTATAACCCACCCCCTCCGGTAACTAACCCACTGGGAGGTGGCTGGCAGCATTCATCCACTCAGGAGGGCGGCCCGCAGGACCCAATCCTGCTGTCAGGCCCCAGCTCCCAACACAGCAGCCTACGGGGCACATTCAATCCTGCTGGCCCCTGCCCCTTCCCTGGGAGGAGAGGAACTTGACCACAGTTTCAGGGCTGCTGGAGCCTGAGCAGCCAGGCGAGTAGCACAGGCCCCCTGGGGCTCTGCCCTCAGAAGCCGAGTTCAGCTCAAGGACTTGAGAGCAGGATCTCGGCCAGGCGCTCACCCTCCCAGCATGGGTGCTGCCTGCTGTCTGGCCTGGAGCTCCTGCCTCTCTTTCTCTGAGGTGCAGAGTCCTCAGCCAGCATGATGTGGGGATCGGCTCGCTCTTGGAGAGCCTTCCCAGGGCAGATCCCCAGAATACATAGAATGGCAGCACTGCCACCAGACCACCACCCGAACAGCCCTGCTGCCTGCTGGCTGCACTGGGCCTTGGGGCAGCATTCCTGCACCAGCCCTGTCTCCTGTGAACAAGGATGGCTCCTCCTGGTCTTGTGGGGGAGACAGTCAGTGGGCAAGAATGAAAATAAATAAATGTGAAGAAAGTGCGGGCCGGGCGCAGTAGCTCATGCCTATAATCCCAGCACTTTGGGAGGCCGAGGTGGACGGATCATAAGGTCAGGAGTTTCAGACCGGCCTGGCCAATATGGTGAAACCCCATCTCTACTAAAAATACAAAAAATTAGCCGGGTGTGGTGGTGCATGCCTGTAATCAGCTACTACTCATGGAGGCTAAGGCAGGAGAATTGCTTGAACCTGGGAAGTGGAAGTTACAGTGAGCCACTCCAGCCCAGCCTGGGCAACAGAGCCAGACTCCATCTCAAAAAAAAATAAATAAATAAAGTGTAGCAGGGTGAGGGTGATCAGGGAGGCCTCTCTGAAGTGACATCTGAGCAGACCCCTGAGCGGTAGCACATCCGGGGAAGAGCATTCCAGGCGGAGAATGGGACAGCCAGTCCAGAGGCCCTGCTGCCAGGCTCTGGGTAAAGTGCAGGGAGCAAGGCACAGGGTACAGGGAGGCGGGAGCAGGCACCAGGGTGAGGCGCCGTGGACCATCAGGAGGCCCCCACCAAAGGCAGGAGCCACAGCAGAGATCTGAGCAGAGGAGAGGCTTCCCGCCCTGGCCTCTAGAAGGGAATTCACCAAATCCTCCCTCCGCCGCCTCCCTGACCCTTCGCAGGCCTGTCTGCTGTATTTTTCTTTTTCTTTTTCTTTTTTTTTTTTTTTCTGAGACGGAGTCTCGCTCTGTCGCCCAGCCTAGAGTGCAGTGGTACGATCTCAGCTCACTGTAACCTCCATAGCAAGCCTCCCAGGTTCAAGCTATTCTTCTGCCTCAGCCTTCCAAGTAGCTGAGACTACAGGCGAGCGCCACCAAGGCTAATTTTTGTATTTTTAGTAGAGATGGAGTTTCACCATATTGCCCAGGCTGGATCCACCCGCCTGAGCCTCCTAAAGTGTTGAGATTACAGGCGTGAGCCACCACGCCTGGCCTTTTTTTTTTTTTTTTTTTTTTTTTCAGATGGAATCTCTCACTCTGTCATCCAGGCTGGAGTGCAGTGGCATCATCTCAGCTCACTGCAACCTCCGCCTCCCGGGTTCAAGCGATTCTCTTGTCTCAGTCCCCCCCGCATAGCCGGGATTACAGACGTGCGCCACCACACCCGTCTAAGTTTGGTATTTTTTTTAGTAGAGACAGACTTTCACCATGTTGGCGAGGCTGGTCTCGAACTCCCGATGTTAGGTGTCCACCTGCCTCAGCCTCCCAAGTGCTGGGATTACAGGAGGCTAGGCCTGTCTGCTGCATTTTTAATGCTGCCTGATGAGCAGGCGCTCACGGCTGTAATTGAACAGAAAGTCCACGTGCCTCTGCCATCTCCCGGTCCAGAGACTCATTAATCCCGGGACTGGAAGAGGCGCCTGTCCGGCCCTTGCTGCCTGACAGGAAATGCGGGCGTCTGGCCTCGGGGGAGAGGGGGTCGGGCCATTCCCCACCTCCATCCCACACCTCCTCCAGGAAACATGGGAGAGGGGACGCGCCTCTTGGGACCTCCACGGAGGTCGTGGGTAGTATAAAGTGTCAGGGCCTGGGCTTTGTAGATGTCACTGATCTGCACACTGGCTTCCCCACTCTGATGGTTGGACACGCTCTGTAGAAGCCAAAGGGCCCCATAAGCCGCAAGGGAACTGGACACCACCCGGGCGGCAGTCGTGTGCGGAGGGCCGGCTCTCTGTGAAGGGCTGCGGCGTCCGGCCAGGCCTGCGAGCCGCGAGGGGCGCGGTGAGCTGCGGCACGCTGGGTCATCCGCAGGGACGCGCACGGTAAATCGCTAGGCTTGAGGTCCGCGGCACTCCGCAGACTGCAGAGCCCCTGGAAGCCCCGAGTGCTGGGCCAGGGGGTGCACACGGGCAGGCCGGCCTCGGAGACCGAGCTGGGCTGACGGGTGGCAAGCCCTTGGCCCCCAGCCGCGTGTTGGCCCCGCGCTCCCGAGGACTCGGACCGGCGCCCGGGGTCGGGCGGGGCTCCGGGGCACGCGGTCGAAGCCGAGCTCTACCGCCCCCTGGCGGCTGCAGGAAATAGCGCCTGGGACCGCGCCCCGGTACCCGGGTGGGTGGCCCCGCTGGCGCCTGGGCAAGCGATTCATTCCCTTCCTTCCTCCCTCCCTCCCTCATTCATTCTTTCATGTGTTCATTCAGCAGAAGCCGAGGGATCCCTCGGTGTCGGCAGCATCCTCAGCGCTGACGACACAACAGTGGCAAGTGAGGTCTGCCTGGATAACTCAGGATAATGCGCTAGATTGGTTGGGCCTGGTAGGCAGAGGCTATTTGAGCCACCATGATCCTGGAAGACTTCCCTTAGGAGGTGACATGGGAGACCGGGATGGGGGGGCAGCCATAAAAAGTCGGGGGAGGGGGTGTTCTAGGCAGAGGGGACAGTCAGTGCAAAGGCCCTGGGGTGAGAACAAGTCTTCATGATTGAAGGATGGAGGGAGGGAGACAAGAGCTCCCAGGAACTGCTAGCCCCTGTGCCAGGGAAGGGTTAGTGGGCAGAGGCCTGTCCCAGACTGGGGCTGGAGGACAGGAGGAGTGCAGAGACAGACCCCATGGGGACCCTCCTCCTGGGAACACACCCTAACCTTCCTCAGAGGACCACAAAGGCCCTGCTCTTGGACCTTGAGCCATGGCGGGCTGAGTCCCCTCATGCCTGACCTGACCTGGGCCATCACGCCCACCCTCCCAGCATCGGGATGAATGCGACTCCTTCCCAGCTGGTACGAGCCAGCACTGGGATCTGGGGGTATGCTGGGTCCGGTATGCCAAGCTGTTGGAGTCCCTGGGTCCTGGCTGGTCCCCATGAGGGGGTGAACTGAGACTGATGAACAACCAAGGTGGACCCAAGTCCTTCAGGCCATCAGCTGAACTTCCGAATCCAAAGGTACCGAAGCCAAGCACACCCCGCTTACGTGAACAAACTCCCTGCTGCCCGGCCATGCTGCTAGTGTCATGGGGCCAGAGGGGACCCTGCATGGGCACCTTCATTAAGCTGTCCCCACTCCCCTCAGAGCCTTCTCCGGAGCCCACTACCTGTCCCCTAGTCTGTTCTTCTGTCTTATAAGCTGTATGGCTTTGGGCAAGTGATAATCAGCTCTCTGGTTCTGTTTTCCCATCTGTAAATGGAGGTCATGTAACCTCCATGAGGCCACTGTGTCCAGTCAAGGCACAGTGTCTGGGTGCTCACCACTCTGTGCACCTGGCTGTCATCACTGCTCCAGGACAGTGGGATGGGTGGCTGCCACCAGGGGACTGGGCCTGCATGCTCGCTGCTCTTTCCAGCGTCAGTATAGGGCCTGGTGCCTGGATGGTCACAGGATGTCACCTTGTCACAGCCCTCTGGAGGCCTCTGTGTCCTCAGATGTAGGAGGGCCTGGTGGGTCGGCAGCCCTCCCTCCCCTGAGCACGCCACCCTGGCCCTAGCCCAGAGGCAAGGGTCCCTCGAGGCACCACAACCTTCCCCGAGTACGAGGGGGGCTCGCAGGTGTCACACATAGTCTTACACAACCTTTAGTCCTTATCTTTTTTTAATTAAAACAGCAACCAGGTACCTGCCCCAACCCATCAGGAAAGGACCCAGGATGGGCAGTCCTTTTTTCAAAAAAATATATTTTCTTTTTTTAAAACACCACCAAAGCAAATCCATAGCCCCTATGGAGCCGGTCCTCAAGGAGTGAGCTGGAAGGCTCCCCCTACACTTCTCTGAGCAGAGACTTGGGCCCCTCCCACTAGACCCCAGCTGGAGCAGAGGGTGAGGCTCTGCCTGCTGGTGCCTTAGGGGATGGGGGAGAAGTGATCAGCTCCAAACCATGCAAGAAAAACAAGCCAAACCCAGAAAGCAAAAGAAAAAAACAATGGAAGATAAATTAAAAAAAATAAACAGGTGAAATGACACCAGTAAAGGTGGCAGGCAGGACTGGGTGTCCCAGTGTGCTCTGAAGAGGCCCTGTTCGCCTGTGCCAGGGGAAGGCCTTGGGCGGCTCATGGCCTCTCCCCCATGGGATTCTTGGGGGATTCACATAGCTCATCCCCACTTGTGGACCCCGCACCAAAGCTGGGATAGAGGTGTGGCCACCCTGGGCCAAAGTGTGCAAAGTCCATTCAGTCAGGAGAGTAAAAAAATATACAACTTGGGTGGCATCCAGGCTGGGCAAGGCACCTGCTGTGCAAGGGGCAGCAGCATCCAAAGGGGCGTCCAGGCCCCAGCAGTCCAGGGTCTCAGCAACTGGAGACGGTCCTCAGAGCAGCAGGGAGAGAGAGGCACTTCGGGGCCGATAAGGGCCTGGCTGGAGGTCCCGGTGGTCTGCTTTTTTGGCACTTGGGACAAATGGCTGGCTGCAGAGCCAAGTGGGAGCAACCCCCTCAGTTCCTCCTGGATGCCCTGGGCCAGGATGGCAGTAGCTTATGGTGCAGGTGCGCACTGCCCCTGCAGATGGGGCTGTGGGGCTCAGGAGGGCCGGAGTGGGGTCCAAGGCCCAGGCCCTATGAGTCTTCTCCCAGGATCTCCTTCACGAAGGCAGCAATGTCCGTCTTCTTGGTTTTGTGCAAAGTGAAGAAGGGGTGCACCTGGGGGTGACAGAAGGCACACTCACCATGGTGGGGGTAGTGGGGGGGGAGGTGCCCATTCTTCCCCAACCAGCCGCAGCCCAAGTGTTCCTCCTGCCTGGCAAAATCCTACTCATCCTTCTAGGACCTCCACCCCCAGGAGGTCCTCCATGACTGTCACAGAGGGCGTTTGTGGCTCCTCCTCAGCTCTCCTGTGATCACTCTCCAGCCACACTAACCTCTCTTTCCCCCACACATCTGGCCTCTGCCCATGCTGGACCTTTTGCTTGGGACAGCCTCTCCGTCAACAGATAACCCTTATTCATCCTTCCAGGCTCAGTTCAAACGGTACCTCCTCCATGAAGCCTTCCCTGATGCCACCCCTTGGCCCCTCTGCCCCATTCTATCACACACTGCCTGTGCACCCTTCCCAGAGCCTGGTATGAAGGAAGGAGGGAGAAGGAAGCCGGGTTTGCAGAAGCAAACAAATGAATGAGCACCTAAAGGAGTCAACATGGGGCCAGAGGAGCTGCCCATCTGTGTGCAGGACGCAGCCCTCTCCTGAGCCCACCTAGCCACCAGCCAGCCCTGAAGAGCAGGGCAGGCACCTCCTGCCCACACTCACCATCAGCTCCAGGTAGCTCATTCGCTCTGCGGGGTTCTTCCTCAGGCTAGGAGAGAACGGTGCAGCTATAGCCAGGCTGGCAGGGAGGAAGGAAGCCCAGCCCCCTAATTGCCACCCCAGGATTGCCCCAGGCCTGGGGGACACATGCGCCCAGGGAAGAAGGGACAAGACCATCCAGGGTTTCTCCCAAGGTGGAGGGGCATTCACAGGGGCAAACTAGAGGCTTGCAGCAAGTTTCTCTGGCCTTGGGGTCCTCGTTTTCTTGTCTCCTTAATGACCCAGGAATTTCCATATCAAAACAGGACTCTCCAGTGCTCTGCCTCACAATCATATGCTTGGTATCCTCAGTCAGGAGAGAAAACTCCTTAGCATGGGTCCTGGGAGAGGTTAGTCCCCACTTAAAGGGGCCAGACTGCCCAGGGACTCTGCTGGGCTCCTCTGTTGCTGATGACGGTCGACAACAAGTCCCAGGACCCTGGGTGTGAGCCACGGTACCAGCCGCTTCTTCCTTATCAAGTTCTTGCTCCATTTAATTACGGTCAGAGAAGTTGGTCTGTATGACTTTGCCCTTTTCCTTATTCCCTCTGTAATCTCAAACATGATTTTTATAAGGCTCCCATGGGGCATTCTTTAATTTGGTTCAGAGTTCTACATATCAATAAAAGCAAACTTGTTTTCTGTGTTCAAATCTTCCATATACTTTTTTCTTTTTTTCAGCCTATCTGATCTGTCACTTCTGGAAGAACTGCATTAAAACCTCCTGCTAGGACCATAGTTTTGTCCAAAGCTCCTCACGCTCCAGCTGTTTCTGCCTTACATATTTTGATGCCTTTCATCTGGGGGGTTATTTGCTAATGGAAAAAGGCACAGGGCCCAGGAAGATGCCGGGATCGGGCCAGGGAGGGCACCAATAGGCGCTCAGCATACCCCGGACTCACCACTGCGCAGTGAAGTCCACAAACTCGGGGGAGAAACGGTCAGCTGGGAGCTGGGGGGACGGCTCCTCCACCACCTGCTTCAGCTGCTGAAACGGGGTCCCCCAGGACTCGTAAGGGAATCGTAGGATGGCCATCTCAATCTGCAGCAGGGACGGGGGGTCAGAGGCCCTGGACCCAGATACACTCACACTCTGCACCCAGGAGCCAGGGTTGGGGGCTCTCGCCCACCCTGGCACCAGCGCGAGGCCTCAAGGCTGCACAGCTGATCTCCCTGCCACATCCCAGCAGAGCAAAGGTGAAAGCCAGAGATGGCAGCTCTTAGCTCCCCTGACCCAGCCAGCAGGATACAGTTCAGAAAGCAGATCCAGCGCATGCCAGGACTGGTGAGAACATCGTTGGGTTTTCAAACAACCTGAATTCTGAAGATTTTACAAAACAATGTAGGTTGCAGCTGCTCTGGAAAAATCTGAGGAGCTGGTAACCTCAGGCTGCAGCCTCCTGAGCCAGGTAGGCAGGTCCCAGTGGTCACAGCCACTCCCCTTCCTAACATCTGGCCATCTTGGACTTCAGCATCTGCCGTCATTTATTTGGGCTGCTGTGACACACACACACACACACACACACGGCTCTCCCCAAGGCCGTGGACAGAGTGTGAGACCACGAGGATGCTTCGCCTCTGCACCCGCAGGCTGGCAGGGAGCCGGAGCCTGCAGCCTCATCTTCTGCGGGGCCCCGGCACTGCTTCCCACCTAGACAGGTGGCCTGTGTGGCCACATGTGCCCTGCTGGAGCTGGACTCCCTGTGGGTGACATCGAGCTGATGGGTCTCTGTTCTCGCTCCAAACTCCCAGCCCTGTGCCCTGCCTGTGGTCAACAAGAAGTCATCATGGAAGGGACGGGCTAGCTAGTGTACAACCAACTCTGGGCTCTGACCCTGATGACTGGATGGAAAAAACAAGTCATGTCAGCCTGGTCCTGCCTGGAAGAACAGAATTCTGAGGCTCCAGCATAAGGCCCTTTGCTGACGGTCATCATCCCAAGATGAACAGAAAAGACCTCAGCACAAACACGTGGTGCTGGCAACTAGAGCCCGGACAGGTCTCTGAGGACTGTGCTGAGAACATGCCTCCCATCAGGCTAGAGGCCCCTTCCAGCCCAGACACACACACACACACACGCACGGCCCACTGCACGTGTGTGCATGTGTGCATGCATGTTCAAGGGACAAAACCGTACCAATTCAGGGAGCAGTGACTCTAATGTGTAGAGCAAGGAGCCCATATAAGCTGCAGGAGAAGGACCAGCAGCCATGACAGTTTCTTAACTGGAAAAGCAGAAGTGTCCAAACCCTCAACCCCGCACTCCTTTAATTTTTCTAAAGAGCTCAAAAAATGAAAAACAACAAAAAAAGCTTCCAGGCACAAAGATACGCCATATGGTGTCATCTGCCAGGAGATGTTTAGAAGCAGCCTGAATGTCCAGCGCCAAGGGCCAGCCCCACCATGGGGCTGAGATCCAGCCAGAACTGCAGACGCACCCGTGACTCCCCAGCGACAACACTTAAGGGCCAGCATTCGGTCAGCACTCACTCCCGCCCGGGCATGACCCCTCCCTGCTCTGGGTGATTGGCACTGGCGTCCTGAGGGGGAAAAAGCCAACAGCAAGAGGGCTCTGGGGCCCTTGCAGGATCGAGGGAGGCCGAGACTGGGGCGCCAGCCAGGAGACTCTCCCGACTGTTTCACCAGCCACTCCCCCAGGATGTCGGAGAGTTTGAAAAGGAAGGAAAACCTCAGGAACAAGGAAACACCCACATCAGCAGACGGGGTGCGCGCAGGGCCGATGGTCATGGAGTCTTTGGAAGGAATACATATGTAATGCTATCAAATAAAATGTTTTTTTAAAAAGAAGCATTACATATTGTTCATATTTCTCTAAATTATAATGAAATATATTTTCATTCTATATAACATATATAATAAAAATACAATATTTATGCCATAGCGCACAATGTTGGCATTGAAATGGGCAAGAGGTTTCTCTGGGTGGAATAACTACAGTCATTTTCCCCTCACTTTGCCTTTGTATTTTTATGTTAGCTTTCCACTACTTTGGTAACTTGTGGCAGAAAAACCTAACACGTGCCTAAAGTGGCCACCTCCACCTCTCCCTGGGTGCACCTGCCGATCCTCCATCAGGCTAGGAGCATTCCCTGCCCTTGAACCTGGGCTTGCCTGTGACTGGCTGACACAGTAAGGCAGAAGCAATGCTGTGCCAGTTCAGGCCTAGCACTTCAGAGGACTTCCTTTTGGATGCCCACCACCACGAAAGGACTCCAAGTATGCTGACACTGCTACGCTCTGAAACCCAAGGAGCAGGCCACTGTGAGTAAGTGGCATGGAGAGGTCATGCAGAGGAGGCCCGGGATTATAAGGCCGCCTTGGGCCTTCCAGCCCAGCCCAGCCCAGCCAGTGCCAAGTACAGCAGAAGAGCCATCCAGCTGAGCCTAGCCAGAATGGCTGAAACAAGAGAAATAAGAAACTACTGTTGGTTTGGGTCATTGGGTTCTGCGATGGTTTGCTATGTAACACTTGATAACCGAAATATGTACTTAGCACATACTTGTCCAAGTTCTACCAGCCACATCAGAAGTCCACCAGCCATGTTAGGCCCAACAGTGATAGTGGATAGACAGGTAGAAGGGACATAAGCGTGTGTGTATCTGTGAGGTGGTCATGAGGAGGGACTCTAATTTCCAACCAGTTCTGTGCAGTCCAAATACAGCAAGAACTTGTCCTTTTCAGCTAACTTAGAACTTGGAAAACTGTTATATTCAAAGAATATTCCTCTCCACCCGAAAAAAACAAAAAGTTTAATTGAAAAATTACATGTCACCAGGCCGGGCACAGTGGCTCACACCTGTAACCCCAGCACTTTGGGAGGCTGAGGGGGGTGGATCACCTGAGGCCAGGAGTTTGAGACCAGCCTGACCAACACGGAGAAACCTTGTCTCTACTAAAAATACAAAATTACCCGGGCAAGGTGGCGCATGCCTATAATCCCAGCTACTCAGGAGGCTGAAGCAGGAGAATCGCTTGAACCCAGGAAGCAGAGGTTGCAGTGAGGCGAGATAGCACCATTGCACTCCAGCCTGGGCAACAAGAGCGAAACTCCATCTCAAAATGAAAAGAAAAGGTTGGGCGTGGTGGCTCACGCCTGTAATCCCAGCACTTTGGGAGGCCAAGGCGGGTGGATCACGAGGTCAAGAGATCGAGACCATCCTGGTCAACATGGTGAAACCCCGTCTCTACTAAAAATACAAAAAATTAGCTGGGCATGGTGGTGCGTGCCTGTAGTCCCAGCTACTCGGGAGGCTGAGGCAGAAGAATTGCCTGAACCCAGGAGGCGGAGGTTGAGATGAGCCAAGATCGTGCCATTGCACTCCAGCCTGGGTAACAAGAGCAAAACTCCGTCTCAAAAAAAAAAAAAAAAAAAAAATTACATGTCACCAATTAAAGAAAATTGAAGGCATTGCCCAGTCCCACCTCTCTGACAAAATTATTTCGACTTTGAGTCTTTCCTAGTCACTTTATACAGATACACTGTTTATAAAGTCACAGACACAGGCTGGACACAGTGGCTCAAGGCCAGGCCTGGTGGCTCACACCTGTAATCCCAACACTTTGGGAGGCCGAGCCAGGTGGATCACCTGAGGTCAAGAATTTTGAGACCAGCCTGGCCAACAGAGCGAAACCCTGTGTCTACTAAAAATACAAAATTAGCCAGGCATGATGGCCGGCGCCTGTAATCCCAGTTACTCAGGAAAATCGCTTGAACCTGGGAGGTGGAGGTTGCAGTGAGCTGAGATCATGCCACTGTACTCCAGCCTGGACAACAGAGTGAGATGTTGTCTCAAAAAAAAAAAAAAAAAAGGCCCGATATGGTGGCTCACACTTGTAATCCCAGCACTCTGGAGGCTGAGGCAAGTGGATCACCTGAGGTCAGGACTTTGAGACCATCCTGGCCAACACGGTAAAACCCCGTCTCTTCTAAAAATACAAAAATTAACTGAGTGTGGTGGCTCACACCTGTAATCCCAGCCACTGGGGAGGCTGAGGCAGGAGAATTATTTGAACCCAGGAGGCGGAGGTTGCAGTGAGCTGAGATCGTGCCATTGCACTCCAGCCTGGATGACAGACTGAGAATCTGTCTCCAAAAAAAAAAAAATTAGCCAGGCATAGTGGCACAAGCCTGTAATCTCAGTTACTCAGGAGGCTGAGGTAGAAGAATCACTTGAACCCAGGAGGCAGAGGTTGCAGTAAGCTGAGATCACACCACTGCATTCCAGCCTAGGTGACAAGAGTGAGACTCTGTCTCAAAAAAAATAAAAATAAAAAGTACATAAATAAAGTGACAGCCACATGACGACAATAACAATGGTAGCAGCAACACTAGTAAAACCCAAAAGACCTGTGTCAACTCTGTACCCACCAGACACCTCTCTGCCCTCACTCCCAACCCTCCCTCCCTCTCCACTGACCCAGCCATGCGGGCGCACAGCAGGTGCAGCCCCACCTCAGGGCCTTTGCACCTGGGTCACCGTGCTCTCAGGTCAGCAGAGTCCCTCCTTGCAGAGGCCTCCGACTCTGCTACAGTCACCTTCCATGTCTCCACAGAGCCACCCTCACCTGCTCCACTCTTCTCTACCCCTGGGGCATAAAAAGAAATTTATTTGGTCTTTGTTCCTGGAACAGAGCTCCTAAAACCCTTGGAATTTCCTGAGTGACAGGTGTGGCTTTTGTTATCCACAAGGAGCCTGAGTTTATGCCAATGAGGTGAGTCAGGGTGAGACCCCTAGACAGCCTCAGGATGGGGGCTGCTCCCCAGAAAGCCCAGGTGGTTAGAGAGGATGGGAACTTTCACTCACCCGCCAGCCTCTGAGAGGAGGAGGGGCTGGAGACTGCAGTCTACAAAAACTTGCAGTGGGTGTGGTAGCTCAAGCCTATAATCCCAACACTTTGGGAGGCTGAGGCAGGCGGATTGCTTGAGCCCAGGAGTTCAAGACCAGCCTGGGCAACATAGTGAGATCCCTTCTCTACAAAACATTTAAAAACTAGCTGGGTGTGGGGGCACACACCTGTAGTTCCAGCTACCCGGGAGACTGAGGTGGGAGGATGGCTGGAGCCTGGGAGTTAGAGGCTGCAGTGAGCCATGATCACACCACTACATTCCAAACTGAGCGACAGAGTGAGACTCAAAAAAAAGCTTTCCATATGAGGCCGGGCACAGTGGCGCCTGCCTGTTATCCCAGCACTTTTGGAGGCTGAAGGTGGGCAGATCACTTGAGGTCAGCAGTTCAAGACCAGCCTGGCCAACATGGCAAAATCCCATTTCTACTAAAAATACAAAATTTAGCTGGGCATGGTGGTGCCTGTAATCCCAGCTACTCGGGAGGCTGAGGCATAAGAATCGCTTGACCTAGGAGGCAGAGGTTATAGTGAGCTGAGATTGTGCCACTGTACTCCAGCCTGGGTGACAAAGTGAGACTCTGTCTCAGAAACAACAAAACTCCATGAGCTTGGGGAGCCCATAGGTTGGCAAGCACAGGGAGTGCCAGGAGGGCGGCAGAGCACGGCAGCTCTGCATCCCACATTCACTCCCTTTCCCCCAGGAGTCTCTTCCATCTGGCTGCTCCTGAGTTATATCCTTTCTGATAAGCCAGTAAACACAAGTCAAGTGTTTTCCTGAGTTTTGTGAGCCATCCTAGGAAATTATCAAACCTCAGGAGAGGGTCTGGGGACTCCCAATTTGTAGTTGGTCAGTCAGTAGTATGGAAAGCCTGCTACTTCCAACCGGTGTGTGATGTGGGGGCAGTCTGGTGGAACAGAGTCCTCACCTATGGGGTCTGTGCAAACTCCAGGTAGCATCAGAACCAAACAAAACTGCAGGACAGTCGGCGGGTGTCTGGAGAATCTGAGAATGGGTTGCTGGTTTTGGAAAACCCCCTACATCTTACTACATCTTACTGATTTTGTCTGATGGCCTCACACCCAACACCAAATAGTCAAAGGGATGGGGCAAGCGAATGTCCTGGGCCAGGCTTCCCTGGGCAGGAAGGAGCTGATGCCCAGGATATTCCATTGGTCCCCAACCACCCAATTGGCCAAGACCACCAGCCTGAGCCCTACCTGCAGATGGCATCGTCCTTCCAAGCATCTCCTGTACAACTTCCAGGCCCTGGTTGGGGACACATCCTGGTGGTCTTCCCAGCCCTCCAATCCACTGTCCACATGGGACCTATAGTGGGCTCACCCACACCTTGACCTGAGCCCCAGTACGGAAGGCATGGGGGTTCTGCCAGGCAATTCTAGAGGCAACTGCTCTGGACCCACCCTTACACCTGGGCTTCCACCACACCTACCCTCACCCTACCCAAACCAGGGGTGTGTTTGGCCTCCGCAGGCCCAGGACTGACAGCTCACCTACCCCTCCTACCACCCCACAGCAATGTACCAGGATGCCACTCACAGCAAAGCTTCTGCTATGAAATATTTTTGAAAAGATTTTTACCATCTTGCTTTTGCAAGATTTACATACCAGAAAATCACATAATTTGGGGTTGGCTGTGATTTCTCAACAAGCACCAAGAACTCCAGAGAAGCCTCATGGTCACTGTGTCAGAGTGCCCAGGCCTTCATGATGGCTGACCCTGACCCTAGGATGTTCCCTCAAATAAATGGTAATTTCTGATGACACATTTTCTTCTCAGATTTTGAAGCTAATTTTTTTTTCCAGGACCTAAACTATGTGATGAGTTCCCCAAAAGCTCAGGGCCCCAGGCATGGCCCCACCCCACCCCACCCGAACACCAAGGGCAGGCCCTGTCCCCACACAGTACCATGGTGATGCCCAGGCTCCAGACGTCGGACTTGACATTGTAGCCCTTCTGGTTCAGCTCCGGGTTGATCCTCTCAGGCTGCAGGAGGGAGCAGTGAGGCGTGAAGACCACCCCAGGCAAGCTCCTGTGGCCAAGCCCTGCATCCCCATCCCAAAACTGAGTGCTCAGCTTCGCCCACCTGCCCATGTGACAGGGGAGGAAACTGAGGCTAGGAGGGCCTGGGTCATGCTTAGAAGGCTTACTCCTTGCCTTGAGCTGCCCCTACCCAGGAGCAGGCCCCACTAGGGCCCTCCTGACAATGGGGGTGGGGCGGGACCTGCACAGCCCACCAGTCTCCTCCACAGAGGTACATGCAGCTTAACACCGAACTGGGGTGCTATGGGGGCAGTTATCCAGGGGGTACAGAAGGGTTGCCCCTGTACAGCAAGGCACAGGTAGCCCCACTATGGCAGGAAACAGTGTGGGGAGGCTCTGCCCAGTGGACAGAGGGCATGGCCAGAGTGGCCAATCTGGACAGATCTCTCCCTGCCCCATCCTCTCCTGAGCCTGGGGGCTCAGGGACCACTCACAGCCATGTAGGGCTTGCAGCCGGCATCCATCGTCTTGGCCACAGAGTCCACCAAGTAGCCACTGATGCCAAAGTCGCACATTTTCACATGGCCCTCCTTGTTGATAAGGACATTGGAGGGCTTCACATCTGCCAGGGTGGGATATGCCTCACTCAGCCACATCTGTGGACCATGACTGGAGGCAGGTGTCATGCTCTGCACAGCTACACCCCCCTCCCTGGACCAAGGCCCCTCCTGTGCCCTCTCTCAAACCCCATTGGGCAGGTTCCACCAGGGTCCCAAGGGTTGGGCCAGGGAACTGAGGCTGCAGGAGGCACCAGGCCAGTTGACAGTTATACTCAGTCCTCAAGGCACAGCCAGGATGTACCCAGCCCGGCCAAGCCACTGTGGGGAAGGCAGGACTCCAGGTGCTTTGCTGGGGGCGCCATGCCTGCATCCACCCTCCAGATGCAAGGACCAATAAAAGCCTGTCTTGTGTGGGTACTCCCAGAGGGCAGCAGGGTCAGTTACAGCCTGGGAGGCAGGAGCTGCAGGCCTGGACCTGGAGTCCCACCGACCAGCACGGGAGACTGGCCCGGCAGGGATTCTCCACGCAAATGCACACAGGACACTTGCATCCCTGTGCCCTACATGAGGATGTGTGTAAAGATGGAAATGCACAGAAAAAGGAACAGAAGGTTCTGTGCCAAATGTCAAGCACAGTGACCCACGGGCGGGGGCTGGGATGGGCACCCAGTGGTCAATGGAAACTAAGCCTAATTCATGTTTTGAAAAGCAGTAAATCTGGAAAAAAGGACATGCGCTCAGCAGCAAAAAGGAACAAACCGAGACCACGGCAGACCCGGCTGGGTCCAGGAACATCAAGCTAGTAAGGCTGATGTTCCAGAAAGGGCGAAACCCACCCACTGTGGGGAAACCAGACTTGCAGCTGCCTTAGGCACATGGGGGGATGGCAGGGAGGGGCCCAAGAGAACGTTCTGGGCTGGGGTGAGGGAAATGTCCTGGAGCTTGGAGGGAGGTGCTTGTGTGGGTGTGAATGTGATCGTGTGCACTCTGCTGGAGTTTCACGATTTGTAAACTGTACATCAGAACAGAACCCAGTCCACCTTGCCCAGGACAGAGGTCAAGCCAGTCCTTGCTCTGAGCATCAGCAAACCTGAGCAGGTGGAGCCCATCGGGCATATCACAACCTATCACCTCTCTGAGCCTCAGCTGCTCATCACAGAAACAGGGAAACATCCACCCGCCTTGGCCTGGGACCCCTCCCATTGGCCACACCGTGCCTGGGTGGCTGCAGGGCACTGACCTCTGTGGATCACCGACAGCTTGCTGTGCAGATGCTCCAGGGCCCGCACGATCTGGCGGTGAGGTGGGGAGGAGGGAAGAGACAGGGCTTCTGTTATTCCTGGTCACATCAACGACAGAGCAGTAAGACCCGGTCCGTGTTCACCTGCCTCCTGCTCCCGCTGCACAGGCTAGGCACCACCTCACCCCGGCCTCCTGCCCTGTGCTGGCATTTCCCCAGCATCCCAACAATCCTGGTGCAGACACACTCAGCCTCCTGCCTCCTCTCACCCTCCCGGGCTCACCTCCCAGGGGCCATCATTACTGCCTGCCAGGCTCTTCTTGGCAGCTCTTGGCAGCCTGCTTCCCTACCCCATCTCCCTTCCCATGGCAGGGCCAGCATTCTAGCAGCTTGGAGTCATTTCCCTTGAGAAGGGTGGGTGCAGAGCCTGAGGCAGGGGTACATTGTAAATGTTTCCAGATGCAGTGAGGATTGAACCAGTGTCACTGGTTCTATTTTCCTTTTTTCTTTGGCCACTGGGATGCTCAAGCCCAGTGTCGCTGCCCTCCCCCAGTGACTTTTTAGACTTGAAAAGCACACATTTTGGATGCTAACCTTTTTTCCCCAACTTAGCTTGTACCTCTGTAAGCTGCCCCAGGGCATTTTTAGTATGATGCTGTTGTAAATACTAAATTTCTTTTTTTAAAAATGGTCTGGAACTCAAGAGTCAGACTCAATGGCTCAGACACCCAGATCTGCCAAATCCGTGGAGCTCCTGGATCCCCACGAGCTGAGGTCTCCTAAGTAGGAAGACTCTGGTCTGGGGTAGAGGAGGAGGGTCTATGCAGGGCCGCTGCCCAGGTTCAGGGGGCACACTGATGCCCAGCTCTGCCCAAGGCATCAGCATCAGGCAGGCTCTATGCCTGCTGACAGGACGGGGCCCCTGCCTATGCACCTGGGACCCCCAGTCCACCCAGGCCACTCACAGACACAGCAATCTCCCCGAGGATGTCCTCTGGAATTGTCATGCCTTTCTCCAGCACCTTCCGGTAGAACTTGTCCAGGGATGTGTCCATGAGCTCCATGCAGATCCACACGTCTCCCTATGGGTGACACCCAGAGCTCAGCCAGGCTGCTGGGCTGCCCGTGTCTGCACCACCTGCATGGCCTGTCCCAGCACCAGCCCCCACCCCCTCCTTGACATGTGCCCACCCACTGAGCCACAGTTCACTAAGCTCCCAGCCCCTCACCAACTTGCCTCTGCCCGCTCCTCCCCACCCTCTTCCCACCTCCCCACTGCCGGGTTCAGGTGCCAGCCTCCTCCATCTGATCCCTAATTCCAGGTGTCTCCAGGGAGGAGGGATTCGCACACAGCCTCGCCGGGTCCTTCCACTGGAGCTTCAGAATGCACCTGCACCAGCTCCATGGCAAGAGCCAGCTGATCCTGGCAGATGGCTCCCTGCCTGCAAAGACCTACTCCCTCTTCCCCAGTGAACTCCTGCGGACCCTCTGATGGGAAGGTTGGGAGATGCACAGGGCGCACCTGCAGGCTGCAGGGGCCCCATCAGCTAGGAGCTGGCACAGAGCATGCTGAGCTCTTCATGAGTGAAGAGTGAGGCCAGGTGAGGCCGCCCTGACTTTGCCCCAACTGCCCAACTCAGACGTCCCGACCTTACCACAGCTCCTTGAGGGCAAGTGAGCAGTATGAGCCCAGTGCCACCCAGGCTCCTGGCCTCCCTACTCACCCACACCCACCCAGCTTGGTGGAAAGCAGCTCCATCACTCTTCCAGCCTTAGTCGCTCTCTCAGCACACACCCCATCCTGTCCACAGACCCAAAACCCAGAATCCAGGTCGCACACCTCCATGGCAGCTGCCTGCTCGGGCACACCACACCCCATATGCCATGGGGATGCAAATGGTCATACAGGCAGAACTGAGTGCAGCCAAATGCCAGGCCCCAGGCCATATCATTTAACCTCTTTGTCAACTTTAGGAGGAAGCCACAACTACCCGCCTCATCTGACAGATGAGGAAACTGAGGCACTGAACCAGAAAGTAGCAGCCAGGAGACAGGGGAGCCCGGTGGCCTGGCAGGGCCGGTGCCCCTGGGAGCTGTGCCAGCCCCAGATGGCTCCCCATGTCCCCAGCACCTGGCACACTGGAGGGACTGACTGGTAGTGGGCTGCAGGTGACTGATGGGTGGGAGGTGGAGCACCCCGCCGGCACCATGTGAGGACACACCTCTCGGAATAGTGCCCCATAGAAGGTGACGGTGTAGAAGCAGTCGACCGTGCGCATGTTGATGTCCAGGTCCATGAGCAGCCGCTTCTGCTCCTGTGAGTTCACGGTGGCCCGGATCCGCTGCAGAGAAGAGCTGCCGTTCAGAGGTTGCCGTGGCAGAGGCCAACTTCCCACTCTTGACAGAAGGGCCAGGAGCTCAGGGGGCTACTGCCCAGCATGCCCCAAAAAGTCTGGCCTTGGTACTGGTCACTGAGAGGAACAGGCAGGGCCCCATGGCAGAGCTCAGCCCAGGGAGCCCTCCCCGCTGCCTCAAGATGCTGCTCACCTTCACGGCCATGATGGTGCCGCTCTGGGCATGCCGCACCTTCTCCACCACCCCATAGGCTCCACGCCCCAGTTCTGAGATGGTCACCAAGTCATCAGCCTCCACCTCAAAGTTCTTAGGGGACAGAAAAGAGAGAGTCAGTGGCCACCAAGCTAGAAGCCAGTCCTCACCCCTCACCCAGTGGAGATAGCTGGGCAGCATGAAGAGGACCAGCTGGTTAGATCTGGGCTCAAGCCTCATACCCACCACTCCCTGCTGTGTGACCCTCAGCACATCACTTAACCTCTCTGAGCCTCACATTGCCCTCTATAAAACAGGCACAGCGCCAATACCCCAAGAGGCTGTGGAGTGTGACTAAGACACCCACAAAATGCCCCACCAACAGGCAGAGTTCTGGGAGAGAGGTGCCCTGTCCCTCTTTCCCTAACCCCACTCAGCTGGTTGGAATGAGACACTCATTCAACCACTGTTTACCAAGCATCCACAATGTGTTTTGGGCACTGGGGACACAGTGACAACAAAGTCTTGCCCTCACAGAAATTTCCCTCTGTTGGGAGGGACACAAATAGGAATAAGCAAATAGATGAACAGGACAGCAGGTGGTGAGCGTCAGGGGTTGCAACAGCCTGGAGGGAGCATTGGCAAGCATAGGCCTAGGGAGTGCGGTTTCTTTTTTTTTTTTTTGAAACAGGGTCTCACTGCCACCCAGGCTGGAGTGCAGTGGCACGATCACAGCTCACTGCAACCTCGTGGGTTCAAGCAATCCTCCCACCTCAGCCTCTCAAGCAGCTGGGACCAGAGGCATGTGCCACCACACTGACTAATCTTTCATATTTTTGTACAGACAGGGTTTCACCATGTTGCCCAGGCCTGATCTCAAGTTCCCGGGTTCAAATGATTCTCCTGCCTCGGCCTCCCAAAGTGCTGGGATTAAAGGTGTGAGCCACTGCACCTGGCCTGGAAGTAGGCTTTCTGCTGGGAGGACCTGGGCATAGCACGGTCCCTGAGCCAGGATTCTCAATGGCTAGTGCCCTTCCAAGGCTTCTGGAGGCATAAAATGCAGGTTTCCCTGCAGGCCTGAGGGGATAATCCAGCGGGTCTGGGGTGCCCAGGAGCCTGCATGTTCAATACCCGCCCCTAGGGCTAGGATGCGGGGGCAGGGCCTTGCTCTCAGCTCAGAACTCTTCCTGCCAGCTCAGATCTCACCAAGCTCCAGTGAGGCCACCGATGGTCCTCATTCCCACCAGGAGGGCCAGCAGCGCAGGACGAGGCTCTTCTCCAGAGCCTGACCCTCTCTGATTCCTCAGTCACCTCTGCCCAGAGTGGCCCTGCGGGGTCAGCTCTACCCGCTGATCGAGTGAAGCGAGAGGCCCTGCCGGGAAGATGGCTGGCACCTACTCTGTCTCCAATGGTGATGAAGGTCCGGGAGTCCAGGTTCCGGGGGGGTCTGTGGAGAAAAAAGACTCTGTGATCCTCAGAAAGAACCATACCCTTCCCCAGGAGCAGCAGCAGATGGGCCAGAGGGGGGACTGGCATGCGGGCTGTCATGGCGACGAGGTGCATCCTGCCCCAGAGGCGCCTCCTTGGACCACCTCCTCTCATTGGCTGCTGAGCACCTGTCCCAGAGGCGCCTCCTAGGACCACCTCCTCTCATTGGCTGCTGAGCACCTGTCCCAGAGGCGCCTCCTTGGACCACCTCCCCTCATTGGCTGCTGAGTGCTGGGCTGGGCATGGCCCAAAGAGTCTCCAAGATGGGGTAAGGAGCGAGCAGAGTGGAGCAGATGGCTCTGCAGAGCGCCCCGCAGCCATAGCATAGCCAGACCCACAGCAGGTGCTGCCCAGGATGGGACGAGGCAAAGCAGTGCCAGCCCCCCTGCTTCTCACCCCTGCCACTGAGCTCCATTCAGGAAGCCTCTCTAGGGTGAGCCGGGGAGAAACTAGGCAGACTCACGTGGGGTTGGGTGTGGGCGGCTTGGACATGCAGGATATCCTCAGATCCTTCTTCCTCTTGGATTTTCCTAGAATGGAGAGAAGGTGAAGCGTCTGGTCTACCCCTCAGTCATCAATATCCCCTGTACTCTCCTTGGGCTAGGCAAAGATGGGGACAGGGATGACTCAGGCCCTGGCCCACAAGGATGCCAGCCTCTGCCATCACCCGAGCTGGGAGCTCCCTCTCTCCAAGCCAGGACTTGAGGCCTTCAAAGGGGGAAGGAGGCCCGCCAGCACTGCTGGGGGTGCAGAGAGGACAGACCCAGGCCTGGAGGCTGGACCTCAGGGCCTTATCTCAGCCCTGCCCACTGGGCACATCTTGAGTACCTTCCTGGGCCTCAGTTTCCCCATCTGTGAGGTGTCCTCACTGCCCTGGCTAACTAGCCAACAGGGGCGTGGGGTGAGAAGGGCCCAGTAGGGGTCCAGCATCTGCAGCAGCCACTGTCCAGGAGCCTCATGGCTGCAGATAGGGGGACGAGGCTCATACCATGTCCAAGATGAGGAAGGCCAGGCCCTCAGAGAGGGCAGGAGGTGGTGGAGCAGGCCGAGACTCCAGCCCAGGCTGCCCTCCAGGCTAGCTCTGCCGGGCCCTGCTCACCCTGGAGGCTGACTCGTGATGCCCGTTTCTCTCCCTCCCCTGAAGAGTGCTGGCTCTCTCCCCTCCCCTGGACCGGGAAGGCCAGAGTCCTGGGGGAGCACCTTCCTCACCCCACCCGTGTCCACATCTCTCAGGCTGGCTGTAGGAGCATGACTGGGTGCATGGCACTCAGCTGGTACTAACAGAGGGTCAGCATTTCTGGGGCTCCAGGCACAGTACGGCTGGCATGCAGGTAATCAGAGCCGCCCTTTGAAGAAGACACAGCTGCCATTCCACAGGTAGGAGAAGCAAGGATCACTGATGCCAGGAGCCTGCCTGCCCAGGAGCGGACCGGACCTGAACCTAGAACCCTGGCCCCAGGCGCCTGACAGCAGCAGGATTCTCCAGAGGAGAGAAGGGACTTGCCTGGGTCACCTGGCACTCTGGCACCAGCAGGCAGCAGGGCTGGGAGTGACACAGCTCCCTGAGACCACCCAGTGCAGACATGCTGGCCACACGTGTGCCCTTGCGGGAGCTTCGGTCCCACTTCCAAGCATGGCCCTGCCACACCTCAGCCCTCACCCACCACCCCCAATTGCTGCTGCTGCCTCACCCTGGCTGCTGGCACTGGGGCCTGGAAACTGCCCAGGGCCCTGCTGCCGCCTGAAAAGAACAGCCCGGTCTCTGAAGCCACCTCCAAGCCAGGTCCAGACCCAGCCTTGGCCACGGTGCAACACAGTCTTGGGGCCACACCTGAGAACGACACACCTGGGCCCAGCAGCCAACCCAGCCCGGACGGAGGGTGGAGGGTGGTTCCCGCCATTGGGAAGACAACACCAGAGCAACAGGAAACAGAATCGCCTTGGTGGGGACGGGGGTCCCAGGGTCCATCCTGGGGCAAGTGGGCAGAGTGCAGGGGCCAAGCAGATACCTGCAGCCTTTCCACCAAAGCCGCCCCGCGGACCCAGCTGCCAGGCCCTAGAGGCTTCAGAAACAACAGCGTCCACAGATAAGCAGCAGCAGCAGCTGCCACCACATGCACTGGGCACCTGCCTGCAGACCACTCACCCATGAATCAATCGCCTGGTCACCACGCCTGTGTGCACCTGGTCACCACACCTGTGTGCACCTGGTCACTACTCCTGTGTATGGGCAGATGTGCCTCGACAGTAAATGTGTTTTTATCTCATTTTAAGAAGCCACAACATGCTGACTGTCAGGGACCACATGGATCTCCCTGAGAGTTTGTCGCAGCCACAGCCACCGGCCACAGGCAGGGTCCTTCTCACCTGTGACTCGAGATGCTCCCACGACCCTGCAGGGAGGGGATCCCAACCTCATTTTACTTGGGGAAGAGGCTCAGAGAGGTGAAGCCACTTGCCCCAGGCTGCACAGCAAGTCAGGGCTCTGGCCTGCAGTCACTCCTGGATTTGTTGACTTGGAAACCCCAACAGGCCAGGCTGCAGTTCACAGCACCCCTGACACGGGGAGCCCTCCCTGAGGCAGAAGGACGGGCCCAGGTCTTGTGCTCAACAAGAAATGGCAACCGAGTCTGGAGACCCAGAGGCTCAGCACATTCTAACAGGAAAAACCATGGTATGCAGGGCCAGCAGCTCCTGAGGCTGCTCTGTCCTGCCTTTGGGTCAGTGGCTGTCTGAACTTCCTGGGCTCTGGGACAGCTATGGCATGGTGCCCTCCTCTGCACCTCGAGTTCCTCAGGTACAAAAATGCCACCCGCCTGCCCCACACAGCTTTGCAGGACAAAGTGAGATTGTGTCTGCAAGGTGCTCAGCTCAGGGTTCACCACACAGAAGGGGACCTGTGTGGCCCACAAATGGTCACCATGGATATGACCAGCCTTTCCGCAGAGGTGAAAAAAAAACCTGTCCTAAGTAATGAGAATTATAGGTAGCTTTTATTCCTGATGAGGCTTTTTGTAACCAGAATATAAAATGTTAGTTAAAAATTAAAGCCCTGTCCCAGGCATGGTGGCTCATGACTGTAATCCCAGACCTTCGGGAGGCCAAGGCGGGTGGATCACAAGGTCAGGAGATCAAGACCAGCCTGGCCAACGTGGTGAAACCCCATCTGTACGAATATACATATATGTGTGTGTATATACATGTGTGTGTATTTGTATATATATATAGAGAGAGAGAGAGGGAGAGAAAGAGAGAGAGACTTTTTTTTGTTTTAACTAAAGCTCTGCACAGAGCCCCTGGGCGTTGACCTTGCCCCAGCCCCTTGCAGTCCCATCCTTTTTCTGTGGGGTCTGCGCCACACCCACCCTGCTCTCTCTGCTCTTGATCCCTCTGCCCCCAGCCTGCCACCCACCACACACCCTGGGACTTGGGGATGTCGTCTCATGTGCCCCCTTCACCAGGCCTCAGTTTCCTCACCTGTCAAGGGCACTTCCACATATGGGCAGGATGGGTGGGGACCACCCTTGTCCCAGGCCTGGGGAGCGCAAGGCCTGGCCTCTGCATCCACCTGCCTGTTGGGGACACCGGGCCTGCATCAGGAGGGCCGCAGGCTCCGTGGGGAAGCCACCCAGCTGTCAGAGGGAGTGGGTGAGGCCGTCATGGAGACAGCCCAGAAACAAGCCTCAGGCTGCCGCAGACGTCAGAGCTGGGCCCAGATGGCCAGGCAGCCCAGGGCTGCCCAGGTGCAGCCGTTGTACCAACCGTCGCCACAACAAACAGAGGCTCTCGGCGGCCACTGGCAACCCACGACAAGCCCGCCTGTCCCAGCTCCCAGCACGGGGTGTCCTGGGGTGTCCTCCGAGTATTCCAGCCTCATAGCACCTCCCAGGCAGGAAATTGAAACTGACCAGAATTCAGCCACTGACCTGAGGCTACCCACAGGTAAGTGGCACCCCAGACTAAGACAAAACTCCCGCTGGCCGTGGTAGCTCTGCCCTATCTTCTCCCACTTACCCGCCACTAGAGCCCCCGACCCTTGAATAAGCCATTCCCTGAATGAGATACCTTCTTTCCCACCGCAGGGCCTTCGTGCATGCCCTTCCCTCTGCCTGAAATGCTCTTCCCTGTGACTCTGTCCTAACTGATGCCTGCTCCTGCCTTTCACCCATTCAGAAAGGCTGCCTGACCTCACAGGCTCCAGTGACTGGCTCTCCCTGTGGCCTGCTGGCTTCTCTGCTGTGGAATCCCATAGGTGGCCGTTCTGCAGTTACCATCTCAGAGAGCCAGTCAGCAGCTCACCTGTGAGCACTCACTTTGGAGTCTCAGCTTGGGCTCAACTGCAACTCTGCCCCTTCCTAGCTGTGTGCCCTCAGGTAAGTGGCTTCACTTCTCTGAACATATGTGAAGTAGAGACTACCGCCCACCCTTCTGGGGTTATCAGCACCTTGCCATAACAGTGCCTGGTACATGCAGATTAGGTGAGGCCATCTGGACATGCACAGCTCGAGATAACACCACCCTCAGCCCCAGACTACCCCTGTCCACCCTCTCAGTGACTCCATGAGGGAGTAGGGAGGTCCACCTGTCTGCTGCACCAAGCATGTAGAAGAAGAGGTGACTTACAGAGGCCACACGGTGGGTGTCTGGTGGGGTGGCCATAAAGGCCGGTCTGTCTGGCTCCAACAGCCTGAGTGCAGGGCCCCCCACTCTGGCTGCCCCCTCCACCCAGGGCCTGGGGAGACTAGAAACAGACTGAGCTGTGCAGCCCTCTTGGAGTCACCCACAGGGGAAGGGGGATGACCCCTCCTCGCAGCCCCTGCCCCGCCTCCACTCACAAAGGCAGCCCCCACACCATGCCATGTGCAGGAGCATCACCAGGTTTCCAGTGACAAAAGTAATCCCTGCTCCTAGTTCACTGCCCTCGCCTGACTTCTGGATGTTCCAGGAGGTCCCTGTTCCACTGTGGGAGTTCTGGGCCCTGGGAGATGTGAGCAGCAGGGGGCGCCACCCTGCCCCAGGCCACCTGTATTCCGCAGGGTGCCTCAGAGGGACAGCAACAAGGCCAACTGCTCCATGGCATGGGGGAAACTGAGGCCCTGAGAAGTGTGCACAGCCTTGTGCATGGGCAGATGTACCTCGGCAGTGCATGTGTTTGGCTGCGACCTGCCAGCCACAGGCCCCTCTCCCCAGGACAGGTGCCATCAGAGGTCCTGAGGCGCTGCAGGCACCACTGCCAAGCGCCTGTGGGCAGCAGGGGGTGGCCATGCACCTCCAGGCAGGGACCCTCGTCCTGAGGTCCTGGGGCCCCTGTCCCAGGCTCAGGAGAAGACGCAGGACACGGGGAAGTTTCTTCCATCTACCCAACCGCCTGCTCCATACCAGGCCTAGACTGCCCCATCCAGCCTCGAATTTGGCTACTGCAGGCCCCACCTTCTCTATCCTCACCTCACAGGCATGCAGCAGGCTGGGGTGAGGAGGAACGACCAAGGCTCTGCCCGCCACATCCCTGCCCTGCCTCTGTGCAGCTGTGCGAGGCCAGCTGGCCAGAGCCTCACACCCTCCCCACCTCTCCTCCCCACAGGGCCTTCCTCACCTGCAGAGCACTGAGGACCCCTGGTCTACCTACCTGGCAGCGCCCCCTCCCCAGTGATGCTCCAGGTCAGCACGGCTCGGGAGCACCCCTAACATCCAGGAGGAGGCCAGACGCTCAGCCGCACAGGGGCACCCACGGCTGCCCGAGGGTCCTCCTACCCAACGCCCATAGCCCAGCAGAGACAACTATGGCCCACCTGCAACATGGAACCACCTGTGCTTTGGAGGGAAGGATCTAGAGAAGGGCCAGAGGTGCAGGCCTCACTGAGGAGGGAAGGAGGCAACACGGAAGGACCCCAGGCAGGGTCACCTGGGCACAAGGCGTGTGAAAGATGGGGGGGGCCCACAGCATGTAGCTGTGGGCATCAGAGTGTGGCCTGGCCTCCCATGGCCAGACCTCACCGGTCTGGGCCCTCCATGCCCAATGGCCATCAAAATGCCCATTCTTCTATATCTAGAAATTCCACACTGAGCAGCTCACCCTAACATTTAGTGAGCACCTACTATGTGCCTGGCCTCTGCAAATTCCTTTCATTACATCTCATTTGATCCTCTCAGCAACCCCTTGAGGCAGGTACTAATGTGATCTCCATTCTACAGATGGGGAAACTGAGGCCCAGGATTTATAGAATCAAAAGGCTGGCACATGCAATTGGTGAGCATTCTGCAGGTCCTCAGCAGGATGCCAGGAGCAGCCTCTCAGGGACAGGAAGAGCCAAGAGCAGAGGGAGGACAGCAGTGTGAGAAAGAATATGCTGGTCAGACCAGGCACAGTGGTTGACACCTACAATCCTAGCACTCTGGGAAGCCAAGGCAGGTAGATCACTTGAGGTCAGGAGTTCGAGATCAGCCTGGCCAACATGGTGAAACCCCATCTCTACTAAAAATACAAAAGTAGCTGGGTGTGGTGGCGCATGCCTGTAATCCCACTCTAAGATCACCACCACTCCTGATCTCAAGTGATCCACCCACCTCGGCCTCCCAAAGTGCTGGGCAACATGACGAAATTCCGTCTCTACAAAAACCAAAACAAAACAAAAATTTAGTGGGTGTGGTGGTGTGTGCCTGTAGTCCTAGTTACCTGGGAGGCTGAGGTGGGAGGATCGTGAGCCTGGAAGGTCGAGGCTGAAGTGAGCCATGCCACTGGGTGACAGAACGAGACCCTGTCTCAAAATTTAAAAATTTTTAAAAAAAAAAGGAAAGAAAATGCTGGTTTCTGCACAGAGTATTCCAAAGAGAAGCAAGAGACTGCCTTTTTGTCCCTTTGAGATTCCTGCCCTGTGCGATTAAGGCTACTCAAATGCAGACAATTTAAAGAAAAGAAGAAAGAAAAGAGGCCGGTTTGAAGCCAGCCCCAGCGCTCTGCTCTGTCTGGAGGGGCAGCCATACTCACTGAGCTCAGGAGGGCCTCTGCAGCAGGCTGCTCAGACTGGACAGTGCCTCAGAGACTGTCCAGTGCAGACACTGATACCAGGGGCCCCAGGACCCACCCGAGGTGAAGCACCAGGACAGCAGCAGAGCCACCCCCCAAACCTGGGCCCCGAGCCTGGGCCCCGCTCCTGCCTTCCCCACAGTCAGCAGAGCAACCATCACAGCATCAGCCCCGTGCAGCCTGGGGGCGAGCCGCACTCCCTCTCCGGGCAAGCCTGGGTTTCCTCCCTTGATGTTCTTCGAACGGGTGAAGGGGCCATGACCTCTGGGAGAAGCTAAGCAAGGGTCAGGAGTTGTAAAGACAAAGCCATGCTCCCAGGACAGTCCTTTATGACCTTGAGCAGGTCACTGTCCCGCCAGGCCTCGGTTTACTCACTCCTAAGATGGGGGTGATCACAACACACCCAGGTTGCTGGGCAGCCATGAGGACTGAACAAGTCCATGCGCACAAAACCCCCGGCAAAAAACAGGTCGGATCGGTGGGACCCTGGCCCCAGGCCCCCACACTGTGGGCGGGAGGGGCCATGCTCAGGCTTCAAGACAGCATGACAGGGGAGGGGACCCACAAGTGATGCTCAGCCCTCCCAGAGCATCAGAAGAATGGGGCATTCCTTGCACTAGGTTTGTGGGCTGTGCTCCAAAGGTCCCCATGTGGGGCTGACTGGAGGTCAACAAGGCCACCCCTGGCCACCTGCACTGTCAACAGGCCTGTGCTGCTGCAGAACAGAAAACGAAGCTTCTGAACAAACGTCATCTGTGCTTCATTGTTCTCACTATTTCTATTTTTTTTAAAGAGACAGGGTCTCACTCTGTCACCCAGGCTGGAGTACAATGGTGCCATTACAGCTCACTGCAGCCTCAACCTCCCAGGCACAAACAATCCTGCCACCTCTGCCTCCTGAGTAGCTGGGACTACAGACATGTGCCATCACACCCAGCTAAATATTTCACGTTTTTTGTAGAGATGAGGTCTCCCTATGTTGCCCAGGATGGTTGTGAACTCCCGCCCTCAAATGATCCTCCTGCTTCGGCCTCCCAAAGACTGGGATTTATTGTATTGAGCTCAGGAGTTCAATACTAGCCTGGGCAACATGACGAAATCCTATCTCTACAAAAACAAAAACAAAAATTTAGTGGGTGTGGTGCTGCATGTCTATAGTCCCAGTTGCCTGGGAGGCTGAGGTGGGAGGATCGTCTGAGCCTGGAAGGTCGAGGCTGCAGTGAGCCATGACTGTGCCTCTGGGTGACAGAGCGAGACCCTGTCTCAAAATAAAAAACAAAAAAATTTAAAAAAGGAAAAAAAGTTGGTCTCTGCACAATTTCAAGGAGAAGCAAGAGACTGCCTTTTTGTCCCTTTGAGATTCCTACTAAACAAAACCTTACAAAGCATGGGGTTGATGACAAGAGATACCAAAAAAGGGGTCTGCCCCAGCCATCGGGGATGCAGTGTGCCATGCCAATGGCAGGAGGCTGTGGGGTTGACCAGAAGGCCAAGCCAGGTGAGAGCAGAATGGCGAGGGGTAGAGGCCGTCTCTACCCCCTGTACCCAGAGTCTTCCTGGGCAGGCCTCCCATGTGTGCCTCAGCGGCCAAAGGACACCGCCAAAGCAACCTTCCTGGGCATCAGTGCCCTCAGCCCCACACACCTCCTGATTAGGTCTGAATGCTCCGCCGGCATCCACAGCCCCTCGCAGCCCTGCCCCAGCGAGGCAGCCCCCTGGCCTGTCACTACGTCACCGCACACACTGGCACATGCAAACCTTAGGACGGGCCTCGGAAGGCCTTGGGGACATCAGCGCGGTGATACAGGCGAGAACAGTCAGAGGACTTGGTACAGCCACATAGCTTGGGGGGGCACAGCAGTGGCAGCCTCGAACACACACACCTATTCAACAAGCCCCACGCTGAGCATGCCCCATGTCGGCAAACTGAATCCTCGAAGCCACCCAGAGTGTAGATCCCAGGACCGTCTCCATCACACAGACGAGGAAACTGAGAGGCTCATGAGCAGAGAGACAGGCCTGCACTCGGCTGGCCAACAGCAGCCTCCCTCCGACCAAATGCCAGGCGGCACCGTGGCCCACACAGTGGACACGGGACTCGGGATACTGAGGGAGCCAAACGTGCCACGAATGCACTAAAGCTCAATCTTTAAAACTAACCAGGAGAAGCAAGGAATGATGAGCCACAGTTAGGGCGGCTGTCAAGAGAAGGCAGGAGATGCAGCCCAGGGAGTCCAGGCCGCAGTCACGCTCAATCTCTTTAGCTGGACATAGGGGACACAGAGCTCACTACGCTGTCATTTTCTAAAGGATGTATATTCTGTATATCCTTTTAGTGTCTGTGGATACAGTTACTTTTTTTAAAGGAGAGGGATGGAAGTCCTGCCTGCTGGGATGGCATCGGCCAGGAGGTGTCAGCAGAGCCAGGCACGATCCTGGCTGTGGACCCCATGGCAGGACGTGATGCTGGCTACCCTGGGCAGGGGCCCAGCTGGGAGAGGGGATATGGCCTCCCCAGAGAAAGCAGGGAGGGTGGCCCTGGAATGCAGAGCAGGGAGGTAACAGCAACATGTGCCCAGGACTGGGATCAGGGGAAGAAAGCCTGGGGCCCTCTCTGGAGCTGCTGCAGCCAGGCTTGGTATCTGGAAGCTGCAAAGGGCCCAGCAAGCTGCTGCTGCCTCCCCTGGCCCTCTCTGGGCTTCAGGCCCTTGTCATGAAGCTGTTTGAGGTTTCCAGGGCCCCTGCTTCAGGGAGGCACCTGCAGAAGTCACTGGGCAGACAGGCCTGACGGGGGTAGGCAGTGCCAGGAGGCACAGCCAAGGGCAGGCATGGATGGCATGTGGGCATCAGTCATGGGGTACTGCCACAACACGGCATCCTCCATGCTGCTGCCCAGCAGCCCTCCTCTGGGACCCCTCCTGAGACACTGGCACCATGACCCTGTGCCTAGTTCCTCCGCTCAGCTTGGCCCACCACCCACCAACACCCCTGACACAGGACAGAGCCCCTGGAACCATGACCCCAGGCCCTGCTTCTGCTTCCCAGGCTGGCCCAGGGGGCTGCGTCCTGATTCCCGGTCCCACCCCGCCTTCACCCTGTCATCCTGTTAATGCCTCATGTCAAAGCTGGGGACGGGGCAGGCCTGCAGGAGCAGGCTCCAGCTCTCTGCTCCCCACGTGCCCTCCCCAGGAAGGCCTAGGAGGCCAGGGGCAGCCCCCAGCCCCAGACTGGGGACCAGAAGTTTAAGAGGCCCTAAAGCCTGATAAATTCTGGCCTAGATGAAAGGACCCTACTGCCCAGAGGCCTCGCGCTGCACCCACGAGCCCACCGTCATGAAGCCCTGCTACTGCTTATCCACCACCAATGAACTACAGCCACAAAAATAACAACAATAAAACAAGAACAGGTGCCATTCACTTGACAAATGCTATCTGCAATCTCAACCACTAGCCTGCACGGGAGAGGTGTTTACTCTCACCTTACAGAAGAGAAGACTGAGGATTAGAAAGGGCACAAGATTTACCCAGGTGAGGAAGCAGCAGAGCCAGGATTCGAACCCAGGGCCATCCGACCAGAGCCCAGGTTCCCCTGACTTCCTGCCTGGCAGAGGCGTGCCTCAGCTGGGTTCTTTGTGGACAGAGGGCAGTCTTGCCATGACTCGCGCCTGAAACTCAGCAAGTGTGGAATGGAACCATCTGCATTCAGACAGACAGGGTCCCCATTCCCAGTCTGCAGATGAGGAAATGGAGGCTTCTCCTCTGAGGGCTGGGCCTTGCCCAGGGACAGAAATCATTTACAGAGTGCAGCGAGTGGACCAGCTGCAACTTGTCCAATGTCACATCGCAAAAGGGATGGAGCTGGGGCATGCGCTCAGGCAGTTAGGCTCTGGAGACTGAGGTCTCACAGCCCCTCCACATAACCACCTTCCAGGAACTCAGGCCGGGTCCCACCCCAGCCTACCCTGCACCACCTCTGCTGCTCACCCCCCCGAGTCCCAGCTGCACAGCTGAACCTGAGGAGTCCCCTGGGCCAAAGGCAGTAAACAGCCACTGCCACCTGCTCCTGCTCCGTGAGCAAGAGGAAGCAGAGCCCCTTGCCTAATAGAGGAAGTTCCTGGGTGGGGCACAGAGGGCCTGCCCAGGGGGTCCCAGCCCAGCCCGAGGTCCCGGAAGGGGCCACCTCCAGTGCCCCAGCTCAGGGCTAGGTGCCACCTGCAGGACACGTAACCCCCTCCCCACCCACCAGGCTGGTGGCATCGCCCCTTTAAGCTGTAGGCAGCCGGCTGGCATGCCCAGCGGGTGAGTCAGCACCCAGTGCCCGCTGACTCATGGCCGGAAGCCTCCGTGGTCCCGGCCTTCTCCTCACACAGGCCAACTGAGAACTTTGCTCCCTTTGGGCCCTGGGCCATGGGTTGGCTGACAGAGAGTTTCCTGTGCGTCACAAGAGGGGTGGGGGAAGTCCCCGAGGTGCCACCTCCAGTCTTTCTGACAGCCGAAGGTGGGGGAGGGTGGCCACACCAGGCAGGGCTAGGACATGGCTGTGCTCCGTGAAGCCTCGGTGTTCCCATGGGGCAGTCAGGAGTCCGGAGCCACGGTCCAAGCCATGTGAAAATTAACCATGAAGTGCCTCCACAGGTGGCACTCTTAGGGCAGAAGGGCAGAACCCATGCTCTGAACGACGACAGGACATGTGTGGTACCCTGCAAGGACAAAGGTGGCTTGCACACATGCCCCTGCCCACTGGCCCAAAGATGACCATGTGGGCAAGGAGGCCAGGGGAAGACCAGCAGAGCTCCGGGCCTGAGGGCTGCACACACACAGAAAACTCCCCAGGCCGATGGCACGGAGGACGGAGGACGGGGCCGGGTACCTGCTGCATGGCAGGAAGCTCAAAGGTAAAGCTCCAGTAAGGTCAAGCGCCAGCCACTCCCTGCCGTGTTCAAATTCCTTTGAGAAGGTGGAGAAGGCTCTGTGCTGGGAGGCCCAGTGCCCAGGATGGGGCGGGCATGGGGCGAGGATCTCCACCTATTGGGGCAGGCCGGCCATCCTCCCTCCAAGCTCAGTTCTGCATCTGTCAAATGGGTCAGATTGCAGTGAATATGCCTCAGGCCCAGCGTGAAGCGCTGTGCACAGGAAAGGCAGCACCTCTGCTTCAGTCTGTCCTGGAGGTCTGACATGGCCATGAGGATAGGCCCACTGCACAGGCTGTGAGCAAGGCCAGGGGTGAGGGTGTCCCACCCACTCAGCTCAGGCATCTAGCATGGGAGCGGCACACAGGGGGTCACTGGGAAGACCTCTGTGGAGACACACAGTCCTGGGGGAACCCTAGTACACCTGTCACCTCTGTGTGGCCTCAGGCAAGGCACTTAATGCCTCTGGGCCTCAGTTTCCTTATCTGTAAATGGGGCTGTGAGGAATGAATGAGGAAATGCATGGCACATGGAAAAAAAGAAGGAGCTCACAGGGATTTTGGTGAGGGGCACTGTGGCTCTGCCACCACATACTTCTCCAGACCCCGAAGAGGCTATAGAGTGCCTGGGCCTGAGGGAGGTCCCTGACCCTCCATTCAGCCCACCCAACCTCATCTGGGACCTGGGTTCACATCTAGAAGTTCATCCTGGCCTTCTCACAGCGCTCCCACCACCTCTGTGACCCCTCTCCCTGCACAACTCTGCAACTGGAGCTTTTATTTTGCTGAGGCATTCCCTGCCTGGAGAGCTAAAAAAGCCTCCAAAACAAACAGTGCTTCTTACCCCTCCCCGAGCTCTCCAGAGTGGAGAAGTGTCTGATTTCCCGGTTCCCAAGCTCCACGAGGTCTGTGCAGTGAAGTCCCTCTTCAGATGCCTCCCCCGGCGAGTGCCTCCTGAGTTACTCACAGTGGTTGGGCAGTTGTCAGGGATCCAGCCTCCCACTTATGTAAGGCATAATTATTCTGCCCACCCGGCTCCAGCCACCACAGCAGCCAGCAGCAGGGGCCAGGAAGAGCCCATGCCCTCCCCAGACCCCCATAGGGCTTCCACTGGCATGCACCCTCCAGGGCAGGAGAGTGGTTGACCCCTGATGAGGGGGTGCCCGCTGCTACCTGCCTCCTGCTCACTCTGCAGTGGAGTCCCAGCAGCGGGGGCCTTTCCAGCAAGAATGAAAGCAACAGCGGGATGCATGCAGCCGGTGTCCCCTGGTGAGCACTGGCCCTCGCCAGGCTCTCTTTGAGTGAAAGAACGCCTCAGAGCTCATTAGCATTCACCACCCCACACCCCACTCCCGCGTCCACAGAAGCAGGTGTGATGACTTCCAATTTACAGAAAAGAAAACTGAGACCCAGAGACACCAGGGAGCTTGCTGGGGTGAGGCAGCCCATTCATTACAGCTATGTCCGGTTTGGAAATCTCTCACAACACAGCCTGCTGAAACTCCGACGCACCAAAAACATCCTCTCCTCTTCCTGAAAAAAAAAAATTCCCCTTCTGCCCTCCAAGTCTCGTCCTTCCCCCCTCCGCATGACAAATCCTGCTGCCGCCACCTCACAAAAATTTCCAGGAAGGCCAGCTACTTGGAGAAGAGCAAATCCCTTGCACAGCCAGCACCCTGGCCTGGCGGCTGGCCCAGATCCCAGGCAGCTGGGACGGGAACCAGATGGGGTGAGCGCCCCAAGTGCAGGGAGAAGCTTGCAACTCAGAGAGGAGTCGGTACAGAGGGGGCTGCACCTTACGGAGGGGTGAGAGGACAAGGGAGGTTCCTGGGGACACAGGACTGCAGGACGGGGTGGAGGTCAGCCAGGGAAGGGGTAACATAGGGCCTAAAGGAGAGGGAGAGTTGGGGGAGAGGAGGTCAGGCGGTTCTGAGCTGGGGTATAGCCAGAGCACCCACATAGGGGCTACAGTGAGGCCCGCAACAACAGGAGCACTCTGGGGCCCAGATGGAGACGCAAGCGATATCCCAGCCTAGATACAGCCCTGGGTCCCGAAACTGGACGTGGGACTGGGTGCTGACCAAGGATCCAGGTGGGGGCCAGTGTGAATCTCACCCGGGTCCCGCTGACGGAGAAGATTGGGAGAGTTCCTGTCTAGGCTGCAGCCATAAGGCCCAAATGAGGTCAGAGTGGGGCTCCTGACTTGGATGGGTGGGAACAAAGTCCTCGCCTGGGTTCAGCCTGGGTGATCTCGAGCCTGAGTGCAGTCCCAAGGCCTAACCTGGGGATCCAGGTGAGGTCCCAGGCTGGGGCCGGTCCTGGGAACCCAAACAGGAAGGGGTTCCGGGACAGGGCGCCGCTGCTAGGTCAAGGACAGGATAGGGTGGGACCACAGAACGGTCAGAGTTTGCAGCCCGACCCCAGACTGGGCCCGGGGTCAGGACAAGGTTCCGGCGGGGAGCGCCTACCTTTGGACTGGGGCATGCTGGCGGGCTGGCTCGAGGCTGGCGACTCCATGCTGCAGACCGGTCCGGGACGGCGGCGGGGACTAATCTAGAGGACAGCGGGCTCCACCGGGGCCGAGCACGCTCATGGCTGCGGGCAGATAGCCCGGGTCAGGCGGAGGAGCAGAGGCACGCGGCAGCGACTGCAGCGGGACGCGTCCGCAACTGGCGGCGCCAGAGCCAGACTGGGCAGCGCCCGGTGTACCCCGGCCGAACAGCGCTAACTTAGGCCCCACCCCTGCGTGCCGATTGGCCCTCCCGTTTCCAAGGCCTGTACCCCGCCTATCAGACGCCGGCTGTCCCTGCCTATCAAACATACGCCCAACCACCCCGTGGGCCCAAGATCCTGGTCCCTCTCGCTCTCTGTCAAGTCCGCCCGCCGCCCGAAAAAACAAGGCCCGGCCAGACTCCGCCCTCCTGATCTAAAGCCTCGCCCCTCGCGCTGCCCGTCAACACGCAAGCCCCGCCCACTCCCGGGACCCACTGAGCCCGCAACTCCCTGCTGGCGCCAGACCCCCCCCAGCACCCCCAGACCCCGCCCAGCACCTCCAGACCCGCAGCCCCGGCGGGTGCGCTGCGAGGGCGCGTTCTCCTGGGTGCTTGGTCTGGAAAAACCCCGAGATCCCCAAAGGTGGTGCGGCTGGGCCTGGCGAGGAGGCCGGGGGTTAAAAGCAAGCTGCTGGGTTGAGACCGGGTTTCAGATACGAGTCGGCAACTTTGCAGCGGGACTGGCCTCGGGCAGGTCGTGACACCTGAGCCTCAGTCTAAGCCTCTGTGAGCGGGCGGCGGTGACAGCCACCTCCCGGCGCTGCTCGCTAACACGCACGGAGAGCCCCGCGCCAACAAACGTTCACTTGCGCCCGGGCACCAGGCGCCAGTCCAGGGCGTGGAGTCGGTGGTGAGCTCAGCGATGCCCGGTGACAAGGCAGCACGAGGAGCTTTCGTGGCTGGTTACTGTTGCCCCTGTTCTACACAGGGGGAAACTGTGTCTCAGAAGGAGTGAGGTGGCATGCGGTGCATTTTATCCCGCGAGCCCCAGGCCCCATCCCGGCTCTCTCCTGGGCCTTGGTTCTCTCCACTCCTGCTAAGACCTCAGTCTGCTCATCTGCATAATGGGTGGATGGGCCAGTCCTCCCTCTGCTCCCACACAGAACCTGGGGGAATTTCAGGAACCGCTGACCAATCTGGTGCTGGGATCAGGTGACTCTGGATGTAAATCCAGGGCTAGTGAGGGCAGAATGTGCCAGGCAAAGGGCAATGGGTCAGCCCCTGGCCTCCAGGCAGACATGAGTGTGTACCCTGTCAGGGACCTCACGTGAGGGAAGCAGATTCCACCACCTGCCAGAACGCTTGAGGCCAGGGCTGACCTCTGCTTGCCCAGGTGTAAAGTGGGGGTGATGCAGGCCCCGTGCACACAGCGGCGGGGAGGGCCACGTGAGATAAGAGGGAAGCCTTGGAGTCATCACCTTTCTCTTCCTGCATCTCCTGTTTACCCTTCCCAGGTCATGGGGTGGAAATCATGAGCCTGGGGCTCAGACCCGTACAAACTCCAACACCAGCTCCCCCACTTACTAGCTGGGTGACCTTGGAGAAGTCACTGAGAAGCTCTGTCCCTCAGTTTATCTATCCCATGGGGACAGTAAGGACTCTGAAAGCATTTCATGAGTTCAGGAGTGGAAATACCTGGCCTAGGGCCTGGCACTCACTAGGTGCCCACGAAATGTGAGTTTGTGAATACTGTGGGCTTCCTCCATCCTGGCCATATCATCCCTGGTGACCTGCGCTTACCCATCTGTAAAATGGGCATCCAGCAGCCATTTCCTTTCTACCAGAATTGCAAGCCTGGTCCAGCGAGTTTTCCGGGTTCAAGCCCCAGCCAACGGCCTTGACTCCTGCTCCCCCACACTCCGCCTTGTGCACTGTGCTCCTTGGGATGTTCAAGAATCTTAGTGTGCCCCTCAAATGTGCCAGGGATGGTTCTGCTGCAGGGGCTTCACCCTTGCTGCTACTGCCCAGAACATTCCTCCACTCAAGCCTCCTGGGGCTGGTTCCCTCTCATCCCTCAGACTGCCTCCTAAATGAATGCCCCTAAGAGGCCTTCTCATCATGGTCCTCAAACTGAGGCACAACACTCGTGCTGCTGATGCCTTTGTTACTGAGTTTTTAACACAGTTCTCCCTCCAGACCACCCTCGCCTCATTCCCTGCTGTGTGCCCGATGCACAGCCAAGAACCAGGCACATCATAGGTGCCTAATAAATATTTGAGGAATGAAAAAAGGAAGGAGGAAAACATGCACAGACCAGGGTGAAGTGACTCCAGTCCTGTGCCAACCTCTGTGGTGGCCAGATGACTCAGACAGGCCCTCATATACAAAGGAGTTTGTAGATTAGTCAGGAGCCCGATAAACAGCCCAGGAATCACAAAACTCCATGTGAGTGCTATATATAGATGCATGAGCAAAAGTCCCAGGAGGATGCCTGGGTGATGCAGGCATCTCCATCTGGGTGGGGTCAAGGAAGGCTTCTCAGAGGAGATGATTTTGAGACTGGACCTTTAAGGAGGTCCAGGGCCAGTAGGAGCTTGCCAGGCAAAGCAGCAAGAAAGAGCATCCCTGGAAAAGATCAGCAGGGACAAGGGGTTGGAGGTGTAAAAAGGGCCACACATGAGGACCAGATGAGGGCCACACTGGGATGCACAGCTGCACTGCTGCGGCTCAAGAAGTACCACCGAGGACCATCGGAGACAAAGGTCTCTTGCTGGCTTGCTGTAGTGACATCTCCTGATTTCTTTCTGACTGCAAGTGGCACAGCCAGGCTGGGGAACTCCATGACCACGCAGAAATCAGAAGGAATGTTTGATGTGGGTCACAAGAGGCTGCGTCTTACCCTGACTCCTAGGAGAAAAGTCCCAAACCCCCTCTCAGCAGATGCAAGGAAACTGAGGCTCTGGATGGGAAGGATTGTGGCCAAAGTCAGGATGCAAGCATGATCTGAGGTAGGCAGGACCTGGGGTGACAGAAGGCTGTAGAGAGAAGCTCACCCAAACCCAGGATGTGGGCAGCTCATTCATTCATCCAGCAGATATTCGTTGAGCAATTACTATGTGACTGGCACTGAGAGCACAACATTGAATAAGACGGACACAACTCCCTGGTAAGTATGACCTGGTGTGTGAGCCAGACAAGCAAAATGCCTGTCAAAGTGTGGCAGGCAAGGCACGGTGGCTCACACCTGCAGCCCCAGCACCTTGGGAGGCCGAGGCAGGTGAATCATTTGAGCCCAGTAGTTTGAGACCAGCCTGGGCAACCTGGCAAAACCTCATCTCTACAAAAAAAAAAAAAAAGTTGGCTGGGTATGGTGGCATACACCAGCTACTCAGGAGGCTGAGGTAGGAGGATCGCTTGAGCCCAGGAGGTCAAGGCCGCAGTGAGCCAAGATTATGCCACTGCACTCCAGCCTGGCAGATAGTGTGACCCTTTAAAAAAAAAATGCTGGGCCGGGCGCGGTGGCTCAAGCCTGTAATCCCAGCACTTTGGGAGGCCAAGGCGGGTGGATCACGAGGTCAACAGATCGAGACCATCCTGGTCAACATGGTGAAACCCCGTCTCTACTAAAAATACAAAAAATTAGCTGGGCACTGTGGCGTGTGCCTGTAATCCCAGCTACTCAGGAGGCTGAGGCAGGAGAATTGCCTGAACCCAGGAGGCGGAGGTTGCAGTGAGCCGAGATCGCGCCATTGCACTCCAGCCTGGGTAAACAAGAGCGAAACTCCGTCTCAAAAAAAAAAAAAATCCTATGGGGAAAAGTAGGGGAGGGAACACGGTGTGTGTCTGGATGTGGGGGCTATAATTTTAAGGAGGGAGGTCAGGAAAAGCCTCCCTGGAAGGTGCCATGTAAGCAGAGACCAAAGGACATAAGGGAAGGAGATATCTGGGGGGAAAAGCATTCCAGGCAGAGGGAACAGCTGTGCAAGGGCCCTGAGGTGGATGGTTAGCAGGAGTAACAAGGAGACCCGTGTGGCTGGGTGGTGGGAGCTGAGGGGTCCCTGTTCTCACCTATATATACCCCTTGGACATACTTATTCTCATGTGCCCCTTCACACCTATGCAAGTCCACACACCCCAAATACACATGCACACACACACAAATGCAAGGGGGTGCTCAAGTGTGTACGTGCATGTGGAGGGACAAGCTGCAGCACAGCAGTGCACATGGTATGTGCATGCTCTTGCCACCAGCAGGAGCCTCCTCTGCTTGCTGCCCCACAGCGCCCTCTGGCGATCAAACACAGCAGTGCTCTGGGGTGCCCAGCAGCGCAGGACCCACTGCCCTCACTGGTTTGACCGCCACCTAGCCTCCTTCTCTCCGTGCTTCCCGGCCCCCAGGCCTTCCAGGCTGCAGCCGGAGCCTTCCCAAACATGGCTGGCCAAGTTCTAAGCTCCGCCCTGGCTCCCTAGTTGAGGAACCTCCAACACTCCGATCCCAGCTGACTTATCCAGACATCCCTCAGTCCAGCAGCTCCCAGTTCAAGCTTTCCTACCTTTCCTTTTTTTTTTCTGAGACAGAACCACTCTGTCACTCAGACTGTAGTGCAATGGCACGATCTCGGCTCACTACCACCTCCACCTCCAGGTTCAAGCAATTCTCTGCCTCAGCCTCCCAAGTAGCTGGGATTACAAGCGCTCACCACCACCCCCAGCTAATTTTTTTGTAATTTTAGTAGAGACAGGGTTTCACCATCTTGACCAGGCTGGTTTTGAGCTCCTGACCTCATGATCCACCTCAGCCTCCCAAAGTGCTGGGATTACAGGTGTGAGCCACTGCACCTGGCCTCCTTGAACCTTTCTTTGCAAAGGTTCCCTGGGTGAGTAATGCCCTTCCCTGCCTTCCCACCTGACACATTCCTTCCACTTCTTCAAGGCCCACTTCTGAAGCTGGGACAGGAGGCCCTGCCTGACACTGCTCTGCCCAGTGCCCCTGCCGCAGCCCCTCTCACCGTGGCTCACTCCCCCACCCCACCCCCAATCCCCGTCAGTGGCTGCGCCCCTGTCTGCCTCTCCCATCCGACTCCTCCTGCTTCAAAGCAGGGCCTGTGACTGGTTCTCCCCAGAACAGCATTGGGCCATGCTGGGGGTGGTGGAAAAGTGAACATTTACCCTTGAGAAGCTTGGAGGCAGCAATACATGGTTCCTGAGCACTCTCACTCAGGGGCCGGTGCTGAAGTCGAAATATACAG